CTGAGGCTAGAGAGCTGCGTGCGGGGCCGTGGGGAGGCCGCCTGGAACAACGTGCAGGTGAGGGCCTCGGTGGGCTAGCTGTAGCAGCCCCTTCCTCCATCCCACCTGCAGTCTGGAGTGCTCTCATGGTCAGGGCTAGAGGAGGGGGCTGTGGGTCAGCAGTGATGGACATGAGTATCAGGATGACTTTATAAGAGCCATCTGATAGGGGAGGGTGGGAGGACAAGGGGGAATCGATCACAAGGATCAACCTATAACCCCCTCTCAGGGGGATGAACGATGGAAAAATGGGTGAGGGGTGACAAAGGATGATGTAAGATATGAAAATAATCTATAGCTTATCAAGGGTTCGTGAGGGATGACGGGCAGGGGAGGAAGGGGGAGAAAAGGGAAGCAGATATCAGGGGCTCAAGGGGGAAGAAAATGCTCTGAAAATGATGATGCAGAATTTGTGCAAATGTGCTTAACACACTGGAGGAATGTATGGATTGTTATAAGAGATGTAAGAGCCCCCAGTAAAGGTATTAACAACAACAAAAGAGAGCCATCTATAGAACGGCTCCAGGAAAGAGGGGGCCTTCAAGCTGCAATAAAGCCATCGACGAGGCTGTGTGGGCTGCGAGTGATGGGCATCCAGCCAAAGGGGCCTTGACCGACAAAGAGAGACTTACAGGCTCAGGTCACTGCAGTCTAAACCATGTCGTCAGGATCTCTCCAGCATCTCCACATCACTTGACGCGCTGCTGCTGCTGCTGCTGCTGCTGCTGTTGCTGCTGCAGCTTCGTGCTTAGCCTGGCCCTTCGCGTGTGGCAGCTGGAGGTGCAGCAGAGCCCTCGGGATCGCCCTCCGGGTCCCATCAGGAGTGTCACGGTATGGCTCCCCTGAGCCAATGACTGTCCAGGACTGGTTCATATGGCCACTCCCAAAGGGCGTCATCCTGAAGAAGGAAAGGAAAAGAGAGTGGCTCCCCAAGGGATAGTTCCCTAAGAATGAGGGGTTCAAGCCAGCCTTGCTGGACTAACCACCTCCCTCTGGGCAACTGCATTTAACTTTCTGTGCACCCTCCCTCAAAGCTGGTAGCACAAATGTTAAGAAACCAAGAATCCAGGACAGATAAACCCCCCAGGAAGAGTAATGGGTGTAGCGATCCCATGAGGGCAGTGGGAAGGAGGGTGGAGAAATTGGGAGCTGATCGCAATAATCGATGTATTGACACCGCCGCTCCCCCCCACTCCAACACACACACACACACACACACACAGACAAACAACAGAAACGTGGGTGAGGGGAAACAGCAGCTGTGTAAGATATGAAAATTATAATTTATAAGGGTTCATGAGGGTGGGAGGGGATAAAAGAGCTGATACGAAAGGTTACAGTACAAAGAAAATGCTTTGAAAATGATGATGGCAACATATGGAAAGACATGACTGATACATATGGATTGTTACAAGAGCCGTAAGAGCCCCAATAGAGTTTTTTGAAAGAAAGAAACCCAGAATGCACTGACTCGGGCTCCCAGCTCATGCTCCCCACCTCTAAGTGAGACTCCTTGTGGGACTGTGCACCTGAAGGTTGACAAGGCAGACCCCGGTGGGCCCGCCTCAGCACCGCTGCTCGCTCGGCTCAGACAGAGACCCTCCTTGGGTTCTGCAAACTGTGTGTGGCTGCTCACCCACCGGAGCCCCACTGAGACCAGGAGAAGCATGGGGTCTGGGCAGAGAGTGTGCCGGGAGCGAGGAGTGGCAGGCAGTCCACACGAATGCCCGAGGAGAAGTCACTTAAACAAGCAACAGCATGGTGCTGGGCTTGTGGCTGGGCCTGTCTCTGCCTTCTGAGGAAGAAACATGGCAGCCGAGCTCCCCAGTGGAGTCTGTACCCCTAGGGCCTCAGCCATTGTGAGCAGAGAGCCTCTGAAGGGAAAATGTGAATCTCAAACACACCAAGATGCTGAGCCATGATTTGATGGACTGCTCTCTCAGTTATTAATATGGCAAAATAAGCAAGGATATAGTGAATATCAACAACAGGGCCAGATCAGCAATTCTAGAACATTCCATCAAGCAAACCACAACAAAATATACATTCTTCTCAAGTACACAGGGAACGTTTGCCAAGTGGATCTGTATCCTGTGATATAAGTTTCAATACACTTAAAAAGGATTCCAGCCCTGCAAAGTATTTTCCCTTACCACAGTGGAATTAAATTAGAAACCAGTAACGGGAAGATCTCTTCAAGTTCCCAAATATGTGGGAATGAAATAACACACTTCTATATAGCACACAGATTTAAAAAAAAAATTAAAGGGTAGATCAGAAAACATTTTGAAGTGGATGAAAATGAGAACACAGCTTATCTGAGTTGGTAGGCCACTGTCAAAGTACAGCTCTAAATGCCTGCAGTAGAAAAGATCTCAAGTGAATGACGTGAGAAACAGCAACTGAAAGCTGAAGGAGCAGAAGGGAGGACGTTATAAAGACCAGAGTGGAATCAATAAACTAGAAAACAGAAAAGCAACCAGAAAAATAAGTGAAATCAAAAGGAGGCTCTTTAAGATCGAGAATAAAATTGATAAACTTCTAGTGGAATGATGGGGATGGGGGAGACACAAATTATTAGTACCAGCATTGAGATGCATAGTATCACTGTAGATTCTATAAATATTCAATGTGCGATAAGGGAATACTTAAAAATACTTTTTTTCAACAGTTTTATTGGCATATAATGTACATATCATACAATTCATTAGTTCAGTCACATCAAGAAGAGCTGTACTGTCATCACCACAATCATTTCTAGAACATTTACTCAGAAGAACTTTAATGCCAATAAATTTGACAACTTAGAAAAAAATGGACAAATTTACTTAAAGGCATATGCTACCAAAGCTCACTCTTGTAGAAATCGATAACATGTATCACCCTATTAAATAAATTAGCATTGAAATTAAAAAGCATTCTCACATATAGAAATCCAGGGCATATAAATTCACTGACTAATTGTTCCAAATATTTATGTAATCAGTGTTACATAGAGACAGTCACTCGTTTCATGATTTCTTGGGAGTGTGGCCGGGGAGGTAGGTGGTAAATGGGGAGCTAATAACAATGAGTGCAAGAGGGAAGAAAATATTCTGACATTGTGTTGATCATTGTACAACTCTTCTTAATTGAACTATTGAATTTTATGTTACGTGAAGTATATGCCAATAAAATTGTAAAGAAAAAGAAAGAAATGTTGCAAATTCTATAAAAATTCTTCCAGAAAATTATAAACGCTGATTCATTCTGTGAGACCAACATTACTCTGATAACAAAACCAAACTAAGGCATTGTAGGAAAATCATAGAACATATCCCTCGTGAAACAAGTGCAAAAACTCTAAGCAAGATGTGAGGGAATCGTGCCCAACACTTTATGAACTTGTCAGGCGGTGTGTCCTTCTGTTGGGCACAGGTCACTATGGGTCAGAACCGACTCGATGGCCCCCAACAGCAACAACAGGGAAAGGAAAAACAAGACTGAAGGCCATGTATACTAGGAATGCATGTGATTCAACATGTTAACAAAGTTATATATATGTTTTCAATTTATATATTCAGACTCAGATATTATTCAGATAATATTCAAATTATATATGTATATGTATGTAATCACCTCAATAAATCCAAAAGAAAGCATTTGACAAAATCCAACATTCATTCTTGATTTAATTAAAAAAGTAAAGAATATAGCAACAGACCAAGAATAAAAGGGAGATTCCTCAGCTCGGTAAAGGGCAACAGGTATGTGGGCAATCACCACTCAACCAGTAGCCAGCAGGCTGTGGTTGGGAGCCCCCCGAGGCCCCTCAGGAGACAGGCCTGGCGGTCTCCCGGAAGCCCTGTGCAGCTGTCTCCTCTGCATGTCCGGTCGCCACAGGTCACAGGTGATTGGACAGCACCTAACAGTGGCAGCAGCATTATAACAGGGATAAACCACAACAGGATCATGCCAAAATAAGTATGTAACAGACAAAGTATGCTCTGCTGTGTGCTTCCATTTGTGTTCATCTGTGCATCAGCAGCACAACCAGACCCGGGCTGCCTAGGGAGGACAGGAAGAGGCAGAGGGAGAGGTGACAAAGAAACAATGACATGCTTGGGGATCGTGGATTTGTTTATTATCTTCATTGTGCTGAGAGTTCCCTGGTGTAAACATAGGTCTGAATGTATCAAAGTATACGCTTTAAATGTGTATCATTTATTATACGCCAATTATCGTTAATAAAGCTGCTAAACAACAACTGAAAAAAAGCTATCAGCCAGATGTAGTATGTGGACCTGGTTTGAATTCTGGTTCAAACAGGCTGACTAGGAAATTAAATTTATAAAGTATTCAAGAATACTTAAACTCAGAATGTTAGATGGCATTAAGAAAGTATTGTTACAGTTATGCAAGAACTAAAAAGTAGTATGGTTATATGTGTATGTATGTATGCATACAAGTGTATAGATATGTGTGTACATATCAACCCTATAGAACAGGTTAGAACTGCCCCTATGGCTCTCCAAGACTGTAAATCTTTATGGGAGAGAGCTTCATCTTTGTCCTGCAGAGTAGTTAGTGGGTTCAAACTGCTCACCTTGAGGCTAACAGCCCAGAGCCTAACCTGTTGCACCAGTGGAACTCCTGTGGCACATATAAATATATCTGTATCTATCTATCTCTCTATATAGATATAGATATATATAAAGTGTATGCATCCATATACTTAATTTATATATAATATCTTAATTTTAAAATATAAAAATGTATATACAATAAATCACATAGATAATGTGGATAATTCTTATGGATAATTCTTAGACTTATTTAAACAATGTGTGATTGGTTTAGAGGTTCCAAGGCTTAGGACCACAGTCTTGTGGGACAAGTCAGTCAGTTAGCATAATATCATATGTAAAGTTTATGTTCTACATCCTAGCTTGGTGAGTAGCATCGGAGATCCTCAAAGCTTGTAAGTGGCCCTTGAAGATGTAACTGCTTGATAGCTGAAGTAAAAGAGAAACCAAAAACTACTAAAAGAAACTAGTCCACAGGCCTAATAGCGTACATGAACTATAACCTCATCTACCCTGAGACCAGAGGAACTAGAGGGTGCCCTGCTAACTACTAACTGGTCAAATCAGGAGCACAATTGATGGATGCTGATATAATGCGAGCAGTATAAGGAACAAAACTCAGAAATGTTAAAAGACTAGACTAACTGAGCCAGTTGAGACTGGAGGACTTCTTGACACTGTTACCCTGAGATAATCTTCAAACCTTGAGCCAAAACTATCCCTTGGGGTCATCCTTTAGCTAAACAGAAATTGGCTCATAAAATAAGCAATATCATCTTTGAGTGCTCTGCTTCTTTAAAACAATCATCTATATGAGACCAAGCATCTATAAGAGACCAAATATTTACTCAAAAGCAAAGACAAGAAGGTAAAGGAGCAGGCAAACTGATTACTGGAAAAGTAACAACCAGAAGAGAAATCATGAGAAAGCTGATATGTTGTGAAAAAAGGAACCAATGTCCCAGAACAAACTGTAGAAAAATTGTTAACCAGGATCCTACTTTGCTGTGTAAAACTTCACAAAATCATAATGAAATATCTTAATTTTTTTTAACTTGATTGCTCTATGGTACTTATTGAAGGCCTTACCCCCGGCCTGATGTAGCATCTGGGATCTGCGTCAGAATGATAAGGGGGAGGGAGGGGTAGTGGCAGGACTAACCAAACACCATGATTGGTCATTATCGGAGCCAAGTGGTTGGGGTGGGAGGTTTGGGCCATCTACTTTTTCTGGGCCTCCGTGTTAAATGTGTCTATGATGAAATAAATGGGGTAGGTGTGGGGAGGACGAATTAAAGGTGTCCCTGGCCTTGCTGTCCTTCTCAAAGCATCCTCCTGTGCACAGGTGTTCACTTTCACCTGGAGGGAGGACATCCGGCCCGGAGACCCCCAGCATACCAAGAAGTTCTGCTTTGATGCCATCTCACACACCAGCCCGGTCACCCTCTATGACTGCCACGGCATGAAGGGCAACCAGCTGTGGAAATACCGGAAAGTAAGTCAGGAGTCTATGTGGTGCGGGAAGCAGGGCAACTTGCATGGTGTGAGCAAAAGCCTTTAGGGGAGAATGCCTGGGGAGTGTAAATAGCACAGCATTTGAACACAAGATGAAAGGTTGGCAGTTGGAATGCACACACAGACACACACAGGGCACCTCAGAAGAAAGGCCTGGTGACCTGTTTCGGAAAAACCCCAGCCTTCTAACCCCCATGGGGCAGTTCTGCTCTACACACCTGGTGGTCATGAGTCAGAATCAACTTGACAGCAACTAGCAGCAGCAGCAGCAAAGGGAAGGATCGGAGTTCACACTGAATTTGTTTAAGGCAATGCAGGACTCTCCATAGAGCTCACCTGCATGCTCAGTCCACACACATACCCTGGCCAGTTCTCCAGTTGCTCCATACAGAATGTAAATCCAGATTGCGATGTAGCGTTCCCAGATTCTTACCTTTTGGCAGTCTGACTCCTTGAGAAATAAAAATAAAAGCCAGCGTGAGAAGTGGCAGTGGAGACAGGCAGCTGCAGGGCCCAGGCCACACGTGGCACTCACCATGTCTGCCCTCATCCCAGTGACACCCCTGTGAGGAAGGGTCGAGAAGAAAGCCCATGGGGTGGCGAGCAGCTAGCCAGCCACGTCCTCGCTGCTCACTGCTGCTGTGTTGGCCGCCGCCACCGCCGCTGTTTGGTATGGCCATCCCCAGTGCTGCCTGGCTAACAAGCTCCCTGTTTTGTAGGACAAGTCCCTGTACCACCCAGTCAGTGGCAGCTGCATGGACTGCAGTGAGAGCGACCGCAGGATCTTCATGAATGCCTGCAACCCTGCCTCTCTCACCCAGCAGTGGCTGTTTGAACACACCAACACAACAGTCTTGGAAAAGTTCAATCAGAACTGAACCCTGGCATCCCCTTGATAAGCCTGGCCGGGGCCTGCTCTCCCTGCAGCCTTCTTCTCTGAGGGTGGCGAGGGGATCTGGGCTCGGAGCTGTCACGGGGGCTGGCCACACGGGTCAAGGTGAAGAATGCTCTTGCAGCCACGCTGCCCTGGCCCTTCAGGACCTGTGTCTTGGGGCTGAGGTGGGAAACAGATGTGCGAGAGGCCCCAGGTGACAGCCGAGCCTGCCTTCAGCCCTCTGGTGTCATAGGAAGCCAGCAGCATCTGTTCACTTTGTCACCCTGTCCCCTTGAGCATCCCATAGAAGAGACGCTGGCACTGTCCCAAGCCACTCCGAAATGAGTCCCGTGCAGTTGCCCGGTTGGCTGCCCTAGCTGAAGGTCCTTTAGAAAGACGGGCACAATTTGCCTGCTTGGGGTAACTCTGAATAGCACCCATGCAAAAGTGGGCCTGCTCCAGCCTCTGCTTTCGACAGGGCTGGCACCGCCCACCTTCTGCAGTGCCGCAGCCCCAGAGGATCTACCCGGAGGCCGCTCCTGGGCCCCCAGCAGTCGGTGGCCGGCACTGGCCCGCTGGGAGTCATGAGAGGGTTCCCAGTCCTTTGCAGCCACACAGGAGACCTGTGAAGTGCTCCTTTCAGATCTCCCAACAAGGCCAGCCCCTCCCCAGCTTCTCAGGGCCAGCCCTCAGGGGCCTGTGGGAAAGGCCCTGCAGTCTGGGCATACAGGCTCAATCCCAGCCCATGCTTTCATCTCCCTCTCTCTACTCCCGGCAGTTACTTGCCTTAAGAGAGGAACCAGGTGCTCACCTGACAAAAGTGTGGAGACCTCCAGGGTGGACTGTGGGCAAGGCGCCTCGCCTCCGACCTCATTGTGGTTCTAGTTCTCAGTAGAACTCATTCAAGAACTCTTGTCATCCGACCCCTTGCTCTAGGATGCTACCCACAGGGCTGGGATTCTGGCACCCAGTGTGGATCTCTAGAATGGCATGCTGAACGGCTCCCAGGCAGCCCAAGCCAAGAGAGAACCTGTGAAGCCCAGTCTTGCTGGGGCGGGGGGATGCAGGGGTCGTTTGTCCCTCATCTGTGCCAGGGGCTTGCTCCACCCAGGTCCTCAGAAGAGAGGGAAACCCTGGAACTACCCCGCCACCGTCCCAGCTGCAGTCTCATTTGCTGTGAAGGAAGGCAAGACCCCAGTGTCCTGTGGCCAGGGGTGCCCCAGCTCCGTGCCAGTCCTCCATGGTGACGTTTTGCTTGGATAATTGTGTGTCAAATCCCGGAGGGCTCCTAGGCCAGCCAGAAGCATCTCTGTAACCAGCTTCCATCCTCGAGTTTGGAAATGGAAGCTGCACCCCAATGCCTACAGGCAGCATCCACCAGCTAGCCCGAGAAGGGCTCGGAGTCAGTATTCCTTAGGGTGGGTTGTGCCATCTATCAATGAAGTTGCTCCCTCTGAGAGCAGAGCCACCAACCTGCTGTTGAGCTGCTGGCTGGTCTCCTGGCTATTGGGTTTGGGGGGTGGGTAGGAGGGCAGGAGATAAACACCCCCTCCAGCACCCCTGGGGAACCGTGGAGCTGGCTAAGGGGCACTGTCATGCAGCCCCGGTATTTGTGAAGCTGGCTTGTGGCCTTTCCAGTGGGACAACACACCTTGAGAAGTGGCACTCCGTACGAGCAACAGATACCATCAAGGAGAACGTGCCAAGGGGCCATTTGGAGTGCCAAGTGAGGACCCAGCATCGGAGAGCAATGCAGCATCTTTCCAATAAAAACTGTGCCTTTTAAGAAGAAGAAAAAATGCAAATGTACAGTAAATCCCGAAACTTGAACCATTTCCTAGTGCCTTGCTAGACACACAACGGGGCAGGGTGGGCCAGAGGGCGACTGGTGCTGGACGCAGTTCCCGTTGGGTGAGTGTCTCATTCCTTGTCGTCTCATTTCAAGCAGGAGATGTTGGGCCCAGAGCAGGGGTGAGACAGAGGGCAAAGTACCAAGGCAGCAGGGCCCTCACTGAGTCCTGGCCTGAACGGGCGGCCGGTATGACCTCAGCGGACCCGGATCTGGGCATGCCTGCAGCCCCCTCCCAGCCCCACACTGCTCGTCCTGCCCGCACCATCAGGGCGGGGCAGGAGCGCCAAACAGATTAGATTTCCAAAGGGCCCCAGTCCCAGTGGGCAGCAGCGATCTTGGTGGCATGGGACTTTGGGAAAGCTGGTGCACCAGGCAAGCAGGCCTCAGCCTGCCTCCTCTCCAGCCTTTGCAGGCTGGCCAGTATGTCACCTGCGCATTCTGGCATTTGTCACTGCCAAGCCCGCGTGGCCACGTAGAACCAGGACTTGATCTGGACACCGTGTATGGTAGGGAGAAGTTCTTTGACTGAGTGGGTGGGAACAGGAAGCCACCTTTGTTTTCACCTCATTTTTTTGAAACTCCTGGCTCGCACCCCCTGCTGATGTTCAAGAGAGCGCAGGCCAGAACCTGTATGCTGTGGTCAGCATCACCCCCACACACACACACCCCCATTCTTCTAAAGCTAGTGTTCTGGGGATGAGGTCACAAAACAGGACAGGGCCAAGAAAGTATCTGTGTTACCCATGGCTTTCCACAGCAGTCTTCCAGAAACTTCTGAGAGCAACTCCCATCTTTGAAGTAAGAGCAAGGCCGTGGCAGCAGCGGCATTCACAAGCATGCTTATAAAGAGGCATCTACCTCGTGCTCCGAGGGGCCTTTCCACTTTGAAAGTGGCCCGGGAAGTCTTGGTGCTTCCCTTCTAGGAGGAAGTAACGCAGAGGCTGGGAGGCACCTCACAGGGGAGATGTGGCAGGAGACAGAGCGCGAGTTCCGGGGAAAGCCCAGTCTTTCCGGAAGATGAAGCACCAGGTCCCAGTGTGCACACTGCGTCCACTCGAGTCACCCTGGTGTGATTTCCCGCTGAAGAAACGGCCCCAGGGTTTTTCCCTAGGCGTCTCCATTTTTGTAGTCTCTGGTGTCTCAAAAAAAGAAAGGAAAAAAGTGGCAAAGCGCCTTCCAGTAGTAATCGATCATGGGGGTCTTTGCTTCAAGGATACTTAGTGTGCTTTGAATGTGGGGTGACCTTTTATCAGTCCCAGGAGACCGCAGGTGTTTCTCGTGCTTTTTGAAGGTTTTCAAGTAGGAGGAAGGGAAGGGAGCGCAGTTCTGTTCTGGAACTCTTTCCCACTTTCAGCCAAGGCCCTTTAGGGTTTCTTTAATTAATCAATTTATTGGGAGCTCTTATAGGTATTGTAGGAATCCATAACTCAATTAGATCAAGCATCATTGTACAATTGCTCCCCCCATCCATTTCAAAACATTTTCTTTCTTCCTGAACTCTTTGATGTCAGCTCCCCATTATCCCCTCCCCTCAACCAATGCTCTTAGTGAAAACCCAAGTCCTGCTTGAGTTCAGACTTGAACTTGAGCCAAGACCGCTGCCACCTCTGGGTTAGGAGTCGGACCTACATTTCAGGTGATGAGGTCCCCCTCACCTATGCTCCCAAATGGCTTGAGTTCTCCTCCTTCCCACAACAGAATCGGGCTTCCGCTCTGCTGTTGACTTGAAGGCACGGAACCCCAAAGGGGAACCGGCCTAGGACCCCTTGGAGAAAACTCCAAGCCGCCGCCACCTCCTGCCTGGAGGAGGGATCCTGTGTGTAGGACGGACTAGCTGACCATGTACAGTTGTGACTGTTGTTGAGTAAACCTCCAGACTTTCTCTAAAGTGGTCTCTGTCTTGTTCCTTGTCATGCGCCAGTCTCCTTTCTGTCATCCCACGCCCCCCCACCCACCCACCTCACCCTGATACATACTGAACACTTAGCACTAGGATGGATAACGGCCAAGACAGGTGCATTCCCAAGGGCGGTCCTTCTAGCGGGGTGGGGAGGCAGATCTAAAACAACTAAGCAAGCTTGAGTTTGAAGAGAGACTGGGGTGGGTTAGTATTAGGTAGGATGGTGAAAAGCCATGAAGGAGTGAGACGAGGGGTTCTGGGATAAGAGTGTTCCAGACTAAAGCAGCAGCCCTCAGTTAGGGGCCCTGATGTGGGACTAGTGTCAGGCTAGTATCAAAGTAGATGAGTTCAAAGACATCAGTAAGGCAATTCATAAAGGGCCTTTACATACTGAACTCAAGAAGGGAAGGTGTAAAGAGGGCAGTGTCGAATAAGCTTAATTCATCCCTGATGCTCACCCCATCAGTCACAAGTCCTTACTTAGCAAAACCTTTTGCTGCTGTTGGCTATTGGCTTTGATCCTATATGGAGGGACAATGAGCTCCAAGTAGCAACAATTGTGAGGATGGTGGACGACCAGGCCGTGCTTAGTTCTGGTGCATATAGGGTCGTGATCCGTAGGAACTCATTCATTGGCACCAAACAGCTACAGCAGTGTAGAAACAGCACCGGTTGGCCCAGCAACATTGGCAACACCAAAAGAAGATGGAAGGAGTACACAATTACAGAACCAAAAAGAATTGGTTGACGTTCAACTATTGGAGAAAGTATGTTGCTGCTGTTAGGTGCCATCCAGGCAGCTCTGATCCATAGCCACCTTCTGCACAGCAGAATGAGACTACATGGTCCTGTGTCATCCTCACAGTTGTCCTTAGACCTGAGCCCAGGGATGCAGCCACTGTGTCAGTCCTTCTTGTCCAGGGCCTTCCTCTTTCCCATGCCACTTGACCAAACATGATGTCTTTCTCCAGGAACTGGTCTCTCCTGACCATATATCCAAAGTATGTAAGACCAAGTCTGGCCATCCTTGCCTCTAAGGAGCATTCTGGCCTTACTTCATCCAATAAGATCAGTTTGCCCTTTTAGCAGTCCAGGGTACTTTAAATATTCTTCTCCAGCACCACAGTTCAAATGCATCTAGTCTTCTACAGCAGTGGTCCTCAACCTGTGGATCGAGACCCCCTTGGGGGTCGAACGACCCTTTCACAGGGGTCGCCCGATTCATAACAGTAGCAAAATACAGTTATAAAGTAGCAACAAAAATAATTTTATGGTTGGGCGGGGTCACCACAACATGAGAAACCTTATATTAAAGGGTCATGGCAGGAGGAAGGTTGACAACCACTGTTCCACAGTCTTCCTCATTCAATGTCTAACTTTCATGTGCAGTGCAGAATACCAAGACTTGGGTCAGGCACACCTTCGTCCTTAAAGTAACATCCTTGATCTTCAATATCTAAAGATGTTTTTTGCAGCAGATTTACCTAATGCAATATGTCTTTTGATCTCTTGTGACTGCTGCTTCCGTACTTATTAATTGTGGATCCAAGTCAAAATCCTTGACAACTTCGATCTTTTCTCCATTTATCATGATGTTACCTATTGGTCCACTCGTGAGGATTTTGGTCTTCCTGACACAGGAGTTGTAATCCATACTGAAGGCTACAATCCTTGATCCTTCATCAGCAAGTGCTTCAAGGCCTCTTCACTTTCAGCAAGAAAGTGGTGTCATCTGCATACCGCAGGTTGTTAATGCGCCATCCTCCAATCCTGATGCTGCACTTTTCATAGAAGCCGGCCTCTGACGCTTGCTCAGCATCCAGGTGATACAAGTATGATGAGTGATTACAACCTTGATGCATGCCTTCCCTAACTGTAAACCATGCAGCATCCCCTTGTTCTGTTTACCCAACTGCCTCTTGCTCCATGTACAAGTTCTGAATGAGCACAATGAAGTGTTCTGGAATTCCCATTCTTCTCAAGGCTATCCATAGTGTAGTAGGGTCCACACGGTCGAATGCCTTTGCATAGTCAAACATAGACCTCTTTCTGGTATTCTCTGCTTTGAGCCAAGATCCATCTGACAGCAGCAATAACATCACCTGTTCCGTGTCCTCTCCTGAATCCGGTCTGAACTTCTGGCAGTTCCCTGTCAATGTGCTGCTGCAACTTTTATTGCATGATCTTAAGCAGAATTTTACTTGTGTGTGACATCAATGATACTGTTCTGTAGTTTTAGCATTCTGTTGGGTCACCTTTTTTCTTTTTGGAATGGGCACAAATATGGATCTCTTCCAGTCAGTTGGCCAACTAGCTGTCTTCCACATTTCTTAGCAGACATGAACGAGTGCCTCCAGTGCTGCTTCAGTTTTCAGAAGCCTTCTCCTGGGTATTTCAGTCACTTCCTGGAGCCTTGTTTTGGCTGATGCATTCGGTGCACTTTGAAGCTCTTCCCTCAGCACCGTGGGTTCTTGCTCATTTGCTGTCTCTCGAAATGGTGGACTGTCGACTAGTTCTTTCTGGTACAGTGATTCTGTGTATTCTTTTCCGTCTTCTCTTGATGCTTCCTGCATCATTCAATATGTTGCCTAGACTTGAATTTTTTTAGTTCTTTCAGAAGGACATGCTCAGCATTTGGTTTTTTAATTCTGGATCTTTGCACATGTCAGTGTACTATTTGGCTTTGTTTTCTCAAGCTGCTCTTTTAAATGTTCTCGTCAGCCCCTTTCTTCCTTTTGCTTTTGCTACTCTATGATTAAGATTCCGTTTCTGAGGCTCTGCCGACGTCCATTTGGCCTTTTCTTTCTTTCTTGTCTTTTTAATGACCTTTTGCTCTCTTCGTGAATGATAATCTTGATGTCTTCCCACAGCTCATCGGCTCTCTTCTGTCATTAGTGTTCAGTGCATCAAGTTTGTTCTTGAGATGTTCTCGAAATACAGGTGGGACAGACTCAAGGGTGTATTTTGGTTCCTGTAGACTTGTTTTAATTTTGTCCAGCTTTACCCTGAACTTACATATGAGCACTTGATGGTCAGCCATAGTCTGGTTTTTAGCTGCTGGTATTGAGCTTCTCCATCATGTCTTCCCACAGATGCAGTCAAGTTGATTTCTGTGTATCCCATCTGGGGAGATCCATGTATATAATCTCCTTTTGTGTTGTTGAAAAATGGCATTTGCTATGAACAAGTTGTCGGTTTTGCAAAATTCTATCCTGCCATCTCCAGCTTCATTTCTATCACCAAGATCATATTTTCCAACCACAATTTCTGCCTTTGTTTCCAACTTTTGCATTCCAATCACGAATAACTATCAATGCATCTTGATTGCATATTTGATCAATTTCCAACTGGAGTCATTGGTAGATTTCCTCAGTGTCCTCACTAGCTTTTGTGGTTGGTGCATAGATTTGAGTAATCACTGTACTGATCGAATAGATATAATCTGATCACAGATAGCAGTGAACTTGATGATTTCGCACACTATTTTAAAAATATGACTTTATTTGGGGTTCTTACAACTCATAACAATTCATACATCAATTGTATCGAGCATATTTGTACATATGTTGCCATCATTTTCTACACATTTGTTTTCTATTTGAGCTCTTGGTATCAGTTCCTTTTTTTTCCTCCCTCTCCCATCTCCCACTCTCATGAGCCCTTGATAAATTATGAATTATTATTTTCATATCTTACACCGATAACTATCTCCATCCATGTTTCTGTTGTTTGTCCCCCTGAAGGGGGTGGGGTGGGTAGGGTGTTAATGAATCAATCAGTTACCCCTTCCTCCTCTCCTCCCCTTCTCTCCCCCCTACACACACACACACACACACACACACACACAACCTTCCCCCTGTTCTCCTGATATTGCTACTTCTATTTCTGTTCCTGGGCGGTTATCTGGCCTGGATTCCATGTGTTGTGAGCTATTATCTGTACCAATGTACATGCTCTGGTCTAGCCAGAACTGAAAGGTAGGACTGGGGTCATGATAGTGGGGGTGCGAGGAAACCTCAAAGAACCAGAGGAATATTGCATGTTTCATCGGTGCTAGCCTGCACTTTGGTTGACTCATCCCTTCCTTTTGATTTTTCTGTGAATGGGGTGCCCTATTTTCTACAAATGGGATTTAGATCTCTACTCCAACCCCCCCCTCTTCCTCAACAATAAGTTTTTTAATTATTTTGCATCTTCTGATGCCTGTTACCTGTTTTGTTGACACCTGTCCTGTCGACACTTCTGGATCGCACAAGCTGGTGTGCTTCTCCCATGTGGGCTTGTTGCTTCTCTGCTAGGTGGGCACTTGTGTAACTTCAAGCCTGTAAGACTCCAGATGCTATATCTTTTGATAGGTGCCTAGCCAGGCACCATCAGCTTTCTTCACCACATTTGCTTATGTACCCGCTTTGTCTTCAGCAATCGTGTAGAGTGAGCATCACAGAATGCCACGTTGTTAGAACAAAGTGTTCTTGTGTTGAGGGAGGGTATGAGCAGAGGCTCAGAGGCTGTCCATTTCCTCAATGTATTGACATGTAAATATATGTACATAGGCCAATACCTCTATTTTTATGAATTAATATATTTACATATGTGCATACCTATGTCTATACCTCCATCCATAGCTTTGTTTCCTAGATCTTTCCTGTTTCCTTTTACCTTCTTCCTGCCCCAACATCACACTTGCCCTTCTTTTGCTTCTCAGTAATTCCTCTCAGCTAGATTGCTGTTGCTGCAACACCACCAGGATCTCTTAAGTCCTCCTCATTGTTGATTTTAATTCCCTAGTTATTCCCGTCTACTGCATTGTTTGCTCACCGCTCCCTCACTGCCTCCTCCCCTCAAGTCCTTCCAGAACCATCTGTCTCATTGCTTTCTCCTACAGCTTGTGTCCCTATCTTATATAGATAGGCTATCTTATATAGGTAGGCAAAACAACAATAAGAGAGACCAAACAAAAGAAACAAGATCAAAGAGGGGGGTGGGAA